TATACTTATACGGCAAAAAAGTCTATTGATCGGCAGTTGACTTCTGACTTCAAATTTCTCTGGTCACAGTACTCATCTTACCTTTTTTATGCCATTGTGTCTGTCTGTCAGTCTCTTTTACCTCTGTGAATCATTATTCTGTTTCTCATCTCGAATTTTTGTCACTTTGATGTCCCCTCTCCCCTTCATGAAGCCCCGAAGTCAGCTCCAGGACTAATGATAACTATCAAAACGCCTGCTATTTGATATAAATAAATAAATGATCAAATGTGCAAAGAAAACAATTCTCAGTGGCAAGACTAAACACTACTGAGTGTTTTGGTCTGACCACCTTGAAGAATTGAAAAGAAATTTGGACGCTGTTCACAACACTGCTGATCAGACTGGAAGAACGGAAGACGGACAAGCCTGGAGACGACAATCAGCTGTCCTAAGGCAAGCCATCTTACAAGCTAAACGGACTTCCTTCGACTAGTTCATCTCAAATATCAACTATCAAAGTGATAGCCAACGTACTTTTAAATTCCTGGGTAACCTCCAAAACAACAGGGAAAGACCCAGGAAAGAACAAATACGTTTAAAGAACAAACTGCTTACCACCAACTACCAATAAGTTTTAAAAACAAACAGCTTACCACCGACTCCAAATACGTTTAAAGAACAAACTGCTTACCACCAACTCCGAAATAGCTAACTACTTTGCGAGGTTCTATTCCCACAAGCAAAATTAAAACCCTTTTGTCAGCAAATCTTCAAGAGATAAAAAGATACAAGTAAGACATTTTGGTGAAATAAAGGAAGACACAATAACACCAAATAATGTATTTACGGAACCATTCCGACCTTGCGAAATTAATGCTGCGATAAAACAGCTAAAGTGCAAAATGTCTCCTGGTGAAGACGGTATTCATCTGAAATGTCTCATTAGAATGAGACCAAAAGCCAAGGAAACCATGCTGACACTTTTCAACAAAATCTGGGAGATCGGTCTCGTACCTAACCAATGGAAAGTTGTCATAGTAATACCAGTACTTAAAAAGGGCAAAGACCCTAGCAATTTTGACAACTATAGGCCCATCTCCATCACAAGCGTACTGGGTAAACTTATGGAAAGAATGGTTAGCAAGAGGCTGATCTGGTTTCTTGAGACCAACAATATTCTTAGGAATGAACAAGCTAAGAAGGAGACAATAATTTCGCAAGACATGGACCGGCCGATGCCTTTCCACACAATGAAGGCCTTAATCAGGAAGGAATTCAAGACCTCGAGGTGCAGCGAACTTAAAGCTCGAACAAAGGAGAAACAGTGGACAGTGGCACTCTCCGACATAGCAAACTGGCCAAGAATCGATCACTTTGCTGAATTTTGACTATATACCGAACACGACTGATTGGTGACGCACCTTCTCAGATTAGGAGCATCACTCAACCCACATACCGCCTATGAAACCTACAGGAGGAAATGGGGAAGCCCCACCTGATTCGGGGTCCAGCCCGAAAGACATCGACGGAAACCCAGAGATATTGAGAAGCAAGAAGACAGCTTACGAACTGCTATATATGTACCCCCCCCCCACCCATGGGGAAAGCTGAAGTCAAAGTTTAAAGGCTAATAATAAATATTATAAAGCCTGCCATTTGAAATAATGAATAGTAATATCGATTCCGCATAGCAGTTAATTTAAGTCCCGTTATGCCTTTGTTGATTGTCATTCATCGATCAATCCGCTGTTTGACCAACCATATTCTGAGATAGAGACCTATAACTACCACAGGTTGTAACGTTTTCTTCAGTCAATCAAGTCCAATTCCATGTGCATAAAGATATTTTGAATCATGTCAATAAAAATACTCGACTAGTGGGATGTACCTGTATTGCCCACCTCCCCCTCCCCCCCCTCCCCGGAATTCCTCTCTGTCTCTCCGAGGCTTGGACAATAGCGGCCTTCTTGCTCACAACGCGATAGCTACGTGCTAAGACAATTATTTTCCAAATTTAAAAAAAACGAATGAAAAAGTTATATGGTGAAAATAGGTAAGCAAGTTAAATTAGATCAATGACGAATATTTTATTATCTGATCGACTTCAATTTATAACAGAAAAATTAAATCACCAAGTTCGAAACGAAGCATATTCTTTTACAAAAATGAATTAAAAATATAATTTATGAATTTAAATTCCGATAGGCATATTGAAAACAGTTGAAGACTTCAATATTAACTGTTAAGTTAAAGTTTATTCATTGAAGTTGGGAACGATAATTTGCGAATCGATTTTTCAATTGTTTTATCAACGACTCTTTAATTTCCTGAAATCTCTACTTAATTTCCTGCGTGAATTATCTCGTACCCATTAAGAACCACTCTCCAAATTCATTCACTTTTCATCTTTATTTTTTAAATTGACCCTATGTCAATCCCACACGATTCACTGTCTACTTCCCATCCTGAATCGAAATTCATGCTATCATGTGTATTATACCTGAAGTGATAATTGTTCTCTGCAAAGAAATTAAATTGAATGTGGGAAAGTTTGGCGAGTGAATTGTTGAGGGCGCTGCTGGACTGAATGAATTGAAAGCGGTGCTACCTCGATGGACTTAAATGCCAATAGGGAAGGTACGACAATTCTTTATGGAGGGAATGGAGTGAAGAAATGCACCCAATAGGTTACCATGGGAGGTAAGGACAAAATGGAAGAAGTATTGCATGGGAAATTTTTGAAACTAAGCAGTCATTAAGTTGAATAAGATATTAATTCACCACCGAAAGTGAATAGACATATTACTTTATTGGTCGTTTTAGAGCGACTAAGAAGAAAAAGTGTTTTTCCCGAATTAACAATGGAATATCCGATGTGCTCTAAATTGTGTGCGGATTTGTGTGATATTCTGAGGCTTCCCACCTCCGGTGTAGTTAAAGAGCAGCGAAGTTGCCCTGAAAGCCTCACGAATGACGACGCTCCACTTATTATTATCTCTTCTAAACCCCTATTAAAGGAAACAAACATGCTATCTGCGACGTCATTTCTTTTTTTCAATAAATCTATGGATAAAACATTTCACAGCTTTTACGGCTTTAGACAATATGCTCAACTCTAATTAAGGCGAATCCTTTACAATTTGATTATTGAGCACGCTTCCTGGATTTACTATTGCCACTGAAGCGAGTTTTTTTTAATTAAAATAGTAAATTCAAGAAGGCTGAGTGTCTTGATGAAGCGGAAAGTGCAAAGCAGAAATAAATTAGATCTGATCAAATTAATGACACTGGATAGCGCCAGAATTTCAGAATTCTTCCTTCATTAATTTGATTTACTCTAGAAGGATGGGCCGGACGAAGTGAACGGATTCAACTTTTTTGTGTCCTTGGGGAAATAGAAGATATCATCTGAACTTGAAATGAGTGATAGCGAGTACACATGCTTCAACGCTAAATGATCTGCTCAAGCCACTTTGTCTATATAGAATACACTACTGGTAACTGAAATTGAGATTTAAAAATGTCAAATTTTGACATTCCAATTCACAGTTCAGTAAGTTATTTTCAAAGTGAACATAGAAGGAGCAAATCAGAGTTCTTAAAATCATTTCAAACTCCAAAACGAAAACAAATTCGCCCAGTCGGATGACAATAGTCCGGCAGATTCTGGATTTTTAAATATTTATTGAGAGTGAACATATATTTGCATTTAATACCACACACAACATGCAGTATTAACCGAATCCAATGTTCTGAGTTAGACCTTCTTGAAGTAGTGTATACATTGCCAGATGCTGTGAACACTGAAGTTCAACTTTTGAATTAAATGTTCCTTAAGTCTGGCAGTCTTTCACTACTCGATTGCTTGAAGTTGTACTTAAAGACAGAAAAACATGTCCATTTATAGTTCTTATCAAAGTAAAACAGAGATTTGAATCGGGTTGAATTCAAAATGCCAAGCAACGGAGGTGTTTGCCTGTTGTTCAGACGCCCCCACTTCTTAGCTACTTTGTTGTCATTACAATGAATGCGGACCGATTTTAAGAGGTAACATCAGTTTGATTACGTGAATGTAATTTCACAATATTTACACAGGACCAAAATAGCAAGCCCACGCAATGAGTTGTGTAATGAAGGAAATGTCCTTATCAAATGCCGAAAAGCAGATTTTTTTCTCAATGTCCTTGAAATAGAAACCTATGCCTCCCGTTGCCCAATTCACTTTTTCCATACGAACTTTTATTAATTGGCAGAATCGGACGGAAGACTTGAAGTGCTAAATTTTCAAATGGTTTAAGTCTTGCAATAGACAGGTGGTACGGCAACACTTGTTCAAACCACTGTTCGATCTTCATGCCAACTAGACATTGTTTGGTAACATTCCGCTCGAATTTGAAAAAGACCTAATTGTTGTTATCAAATGGTTGTTTTTACTCTCAACAAGAAAGAACGTAGAAAGAAGTGTGTTTCTCGAAAAGCAATAGTTTGAAATCCAACCGGTGACTGTATTTTTTGATGGTGAATGTAAAAGAATATTTCAAAGACTAATTCACCTGCTTCACGGTATCCGAGTGCAAATTGCTTCAACGATAAATTTCAAACTCTCGACTTCATTTCTCTTTTCGTACACTGTCATAACACCCCCCCCCCCATCTCAAACTCCCATTCTTTCGAATGCTCATCATAATGTTTCCGATTCATTAACTCCTAAAATGTAATGCGCCCACAATTTTGAGGCTTCAAATAGTGAATACTCATCACATTACGTGCTATGCTCGCATGAAGCAAAGGGGAACTCAGCCTTCTTTCTCTCAGAGCCTTCTACTTACTCTACTGCCTCGCTAACACAAAGTAGAAGACACAACAAAATTTCCAAAACATTCTAAATTTTATAGGTTTCTTTTCACTCCGAAAAATGCAAGTAAGAAGGGGGAGTTTCGAAGCTCGACACTGATGATCAAGAACATTTGATCAGAAAAGTGGAAGAAGAGGAACTCTCATTGAAAGCCGTGGGCTGATTACTGCGTGAGACGAAGGAGGTCGGCGTCGTACAGAAAGGAAGAGAAGAATAACTCCTCTTCCTTCAGAAGGAGCTTGAACTCAAATACCTTGTTGATATCGGCCAGAGAAAAATGAGAGTCGTCTATAAAGGAAAAGATTAAAACAAATATGAGAGTAAATGGAAATTACAATGGAAAATTATGAACTAAACTTAGGGAAAGCGGTCGCAAAGAAAAGGTGGAAACTTTGGCTCTTAAAGCAACGTGTAAAGGTTCTTTATACTCAAGACTTACCTCCACGTGGGGCACCCTGGGCAACGTATACTCATATGGCAAAAAATTCTATAAACCGACAGTTGACTTCAAACTACCATGACCACATTGTATGTCATATTTGACTACTTCCACATTACTCTTACATCTTTGAAACACTCTTCTGTCCCCCCCCCCCCATTCAAATTTTCGTCCCTTTGATGTTCCTTCCCCACTGTGAAGCCTGAAGTCAACTAAAGGGCTAATGATAACTATCAAAATGCCTGCCATTTGATAGAAATATTCAAGACTTCAACCCCAAGCGCACACCATCGTGTGCTATCAGAGGTCTTTGCATTCAAAACTGTTTTATGAAATGAGAAATGTAGATGTAATAAAGGCATCTGAAGACGGCAATGGAAGCAATCACAGCAGACCACACAGTGCACATTCAGGTAAGTCTCGAGGATAAATAAGTCAAGAGATTTTGGGCATTTCAAATTGTCAAAATATTTGGCATCGATTGACAGTAAGTTCAGCAATTGATCCACAGAATACAGGGAGCAAAGGCAAGGTATCAAGATGTCTTACTTCCTCCAAGTAGGTGATTCAAATTAAAAAAATCACATCTCATTATTTGCCCACTAAACTCCACTGAGTGCTTGCCTGGGAAGTTAGACGATCGCTTTAACAAAGAGAATCGATCGCATTATTTCGATTGAGTTCTTCCTCCTCCGAGTGGTGACGAATTCTGCATTCATACAATATTCAGCGGGTGATAAGGTTCCCTAGGCCATTAAACCGCGGTAAAATAAATTACGTATACTGATAGCATTTATGATTTGTACTTTTCGACTAAGGAGCATGAAAGAAAGTAGACTACTGCTATTACTTATTAGCAAAAAAAAATTAAACAGAAATTAGATTTTCAAATATATGCGCCTTCCACTTGCGCGACAACATGGAGCCACATAATGAGAGACCCAAAGCCACCAAATAATTATTAATCCGACAAACACTGAGACAGGTGAACCCACTGACTGGGAATTGAATCTATGACCTCTGAAATTGCAGACAAGTAGAGCAATCAAGGCGCCAGTCTCAGATAGCGTTCGATGGCGATAATAGAATTATGTCAAGGGTTATAATAGCATGATATAACGGGCGATGTGAACCTTCAAGAGTCAAGAGACACGCTTGATGGAGTCCGTGTGGCAGGTGACTAAGAGGCAGAGCTGATTGGTCCGAGCAGATTGTGGTGGGCAGGAAACAGCTGACTAGTAGACGACAGGGAGATGACTCGGGAGATGGAGGAGTATTCAAGGATGAAGAAGGTTTGCTCCTTTGACGCGACTGGAGATGCTTCAGACTGTCGGCAAATAGGCTCGTCAGGGCATGGAGTCTAGCCAGGAAGTCTTCACGCTACAATAGGGGGAACATTTTCAGTGGAGCTAGACCAGTTTCCCCAAAGCCAACTCCAAAACTTTTCCACTCGCCTTTATAATGTAGCAAGGAATTCTTAAGACATCGAACGTTGTTAATAATTTTACCTACTAATTTCTCTGGACATGCTTCAGTGGAAATACGAGCTGAAGTATTAGGCATAGGAAAATAATCCACCCAGAAAGACTTTTAAATAATCAGTTAAATAATAATTGCTGCCGGTAACAAATTCAACTGTATTTCCCCAAGAGATCTTAGGAGTGTGCTATTCAAAAGAATAATAAATTGAGGCAATAAAAGGGGCGCCAACTGGCCAAATGAAGAGCGCAATGAGCAAAATGGTATCGGGTATCAGCCGGTGGCTTGTACAAAGGGACTTTCTCAATAATTCCAAAATAATAAAAAAACAAACAAGAAGAGGGCGTTTAAGAGAAAAATAAAACATTTTAGTTGGAGGGAAAGAGAAGCTACTTCGAGAGGGAGAAAAGTGGAGTTCCGCATTGGCTTGTGCAATTGCTGTAATGAAAGAAGAATGCAGAAAGCGAAAAACTGTCCCTCTACCTCTGCAGAGGCATTCGAGAGTCTTTAATTAGTTCAAATTTTGTAAATGGAAGTTACTTTTCATGAGATCAACGCCACAAAACTAATTTTTGCGGCCTTAGGAAATAAATAAAAGTCTATTCTACATAAGATCCAGTAAAAATGAACGACAAGGCAGTTTTTATCAAAATGAATGTGACAGAGACGGTAAGAAAGTCTACAAAGCAAATTAAAATTTGAGTAAAAAAGAAGCGAATTATGACATCGACGAGAAGCCAAATAAGCTTTTGTGTATTTTCCTACAATCAGGTATGCAGTTCATGTAATTAATGCTAGTCTGACTAGGGACTGCTCTAATGTGGCGTACCGATATCTGCATCTCGGACCGACAGGTCTTGCTCTCACGTCAACCTTAGTCCCGTCACAGAGTAAGGTGTTGTCTAGTAGGCAGGTAATATCTACAGGTTATCTTGCGCATCGTCATGGACACGCCAAGATCAGGTTGGAGACTCCTCAGATTAATTGAATCGCATGAATTTGCTGACTGATGGTTAAAAAAAGAGAGAGAAAAGCCAAGGAGCCATCATTTGTGTATGAAAAGAGAGTATGATTGCACAACACGCATAGAGGAGTGCGTTTAAGATCACTCGGGTAAACAAATATAGCCAGGGAGTGAGAGAAAATTCGGAACTTCACATCTGAGGATGTGTGTGTGTGTGTGTGTGTGTTTACGTTGAAATAGAGAGGAGGATAGTTTCGAGAGAGAATAAAACCCCATCTTGGTAGAGATCGCAGACGGAAAAGAAGCCAAATTGCGATAGGAATGCCAGCGGCAGCGGTCCTATTAAATAAACAATGACAAGATAGCACTTTTTGGAATCAGCTACTTGAATTCTGGAACACAGTAAAGACCTGATGACTAACCCCAACCACCCACACACAAAATAAGCTTAGTCAAATGCAGTCTAGTGTTTCAGGTCCTTCTTCAAGCACACAACGTAGCTGCATCAGAATCTTCAAAAGGTTGGGGGGGGGGCACTGATTGTGTGACATAGTTCCATTTGTTCGAAAGAATGCCAAAAAAGGCGGAGAGAGATGGCAGGACTGGCGACAATGTTCAAGGTTGATACGAAGCTCTGGGGACAAAAGGATGAGAAAGTTGGTACTGGTTCAAGGATAAATTGAGCCGATTGTTAATTGTAATTAGTGACGAAATTTAGACGTACACTAATATGTTAAAAAAAGTAGAAAACAAAATGTGGCCAGGAGAGTGGGGGTTATACGAAGCTTACCAAACTCCCGGTAATTTAAGATAAAGAGCATTAAAGCGAAATTGAAAAAAGCATTTGCACAAAAGACGTATTTCGTAGTGGTAATTAAAATTCGCCATGTATGAAAGAATAGGTGTGCAAAAGAAGAAAGTTGCACGTTTTCTTCGTCAAAGGATGTGCACTTGAATGTAATTATTATTCGTATTGCACAAAACCTCCTTTTGTCTTGCGGTATTTGTGGATGAGTCAGCGTCTCCGTCGGCTGCAAAAAACGGTCCTCCTTTGGAAGTTCGAATTTACGTGGTTTGGGGCGCAATTGCTGCCAGCGAATTCGCTAAATTTAGTTCCAACATCTGCAAGAAGAACTTCCTGCCAATGACATGGATTCCAAGGTCTTCCATCATTAGAGCGATTAAGGGGATTTCCACTAAACTGAACTCGGCAAAGTAGGCAAAGCGAGAGGAGGAGGAAGGGCAAGTAAGCAGCCAATGGAAAAGCGAGAGGAGGTCGGGGCTGCTAAGAATTCGATTTGTGACCCCAAGAAACGAGACATGAAAATCGAATTTTTCAGGCCCAAAGCAGAAAGTGGCCCTTCACTTGAATATTTCCCAATCCGAATGCGGCAAATCTTTTTAGAGACTTCTTTTACTAAGCCATCCGCTACCTTTCCCTTCATTGTTTCCCTTTAATTGGCCCTCGCACGATTCCTTCTCACCAGCCATATGCCTTTCCGAGAGTACAACTTGCACCTCAATAGATGCCATGATAAACAAGAGAAAATAAGACGAAATTACTTTTCTGATGCTATTATAATACTAAACAAACGATATCCGCTCACTTTTTTACTTGAAAGTTCTTACTAACTCACTACCAGTAATTGCGTTAATTGAGTGACATCGAAGTTGTACTTTGAAAGCAGAAGTATTGAAATTTCCTTCGCAACTCCTTGCAATCGGCTGGCTGGCTGGCAGGGAGAGAAATAAGGAAAAGATGATGCCTGAACTGATGTCTATTTGCAAATATCGTGACTGCATTTAACAAATTCGAGAAAAAGACTGCGCCCCAACTCCCAAAGGAGAACTTTTTGAAACCGATGGAGACGCCGACTCCCTCGAATGCCCACAAATACTCTAAGACAAACGACCTGTGCACACGCTGGTCTAGTTCCACGTTCTCACATAAATTAGAGCCGAAATAAGGGAGGTCTATTGGGGTCAATTTGCATATCAGACACACCAACGCTCGCGAGGTGAATAAGGCGAGCGAGATGCGAAGCCGACAAATTTCGCCTTTCACTTCAATGCGAGCGGAAGTGGAGAGCACCTACTGACTCCCCCCCCCCCCCCCACCAAAGTCAAATTTTAAAGGAAGTTCGCACGCATTTTTAATCAATCCCACAACAAATTCTGATGATAAATGCCAGCCTCTTAATCCTCGTAAGACCGCAAGATAGGTTTAATAAAGATAACCAACCATAATGAAAAATCTCAAGTTACATAACTGGAATTTGTTAAGAATACCGTCATTAGCATTGCAGGAGTGTACATTTGAAATGAAGGATAATATTGATTGACAATATAAAAGTAAATGTGCGGATTAAATTAAGGGTAATTAGAAATTAATTTTCGCTTCAATAACGATAATTATGTTCCAGAATGGACAATGATTTAGATAAAAAGTAGCCGATAATGAGCCCTATTGGCCTGAAGTTCACCATTTCAGACCCCTCAAAAGCTGTTTATAACCTTCAGAAGTAGATGAATGGAAGATGGAACTGAATGCGTCAAGAAAAGCTGATTAGTGATTGGGAGTGTTTAAAATATTGAAAGGCTTAACTAAGGAAATCGTTATAAATACAACACATTTTTTAAATACATTTAAGACCACCACAAACAACTATGTACACTGCCTTGAATTCATTCAATACAAAACAATAAAAATTGGTGCTAAAATATTAATGTTTAATAAAAGTGGACTAGTTATTCAAAAACATTCACATTATCAGTAAAATAAAATTTAGATTAAAATGCAGAAAATCCGTGGTTGTGGGTGGAAAAGACGCAGTCATAACTGCAGAATTTTGTGCCTGAAAAATCCTTACGATTTATGAAGCCTTCTAAGTAACAGCAAAGATAGCAAAATAGACGGACTTTGAAGAAGCGCTTTGTCTTCCCCACATTCGCATTAAGCTCACGGAAGAGATCACAGTCAAAGTGATCCACTAAAGTGAGTCAGTCAGTCAAATTCTCATTCCTATTTGAATTGCACTCCTCACCTCACCCGCTCACTCACTTAGAGGAGATACTGAAGAATCAAAGTAGTGTGACCAACCACGAAACTAGGTCAACGAGATTAGTAATATCATGAACATAATCACACCCATGAATCATCCCATCTTTAAATAGATTTGAGGAACAGAATATTTAAAGTAATTGTTTCATGAAAATAGTAGCCACCCATTTCTTTCAACGACCCGTCTCCTCCTCCGTTTGGCACATGCTCTGCCTCAATTGCTTGCAAACTGCCGTTGTTTTCAGTAAGGGTCAAACCAAGACCAAAAACGTAATGCAGACGACTAAGTCGTTTAAGCAGTTAATTCAATAGTAACTGAAATACGAAAAGACTTCGAAGATTTACCCTTAATAAACAAGATAACTTTGGTTAGCGAATGTGGACCAGTCGTGTCGTGTGACTCCCTCGAGCTATTAAACATTGTTAGGATAATAGAAGGTCTGCGTTCTTAATAATCGTGGGTCGCAAATAGTCTAACTTCGTGGTATTAGCAAATGGTATTCCGCACTCCACTTGAAGGACGTAGATACTAACAAATGCGGCTAAAGATTTATAAAGGTCATAACTTAGTTTCTTGACTACCTCCGAGCCGATGATCCGATCGAGTTGTTCAATGACGATAAGATTTGGAATTCTATTGAGGAGATGTATTTGAGAGAAGAAGCTAATTAAAGAGTCCTCTGTTGATTTATCACTAAAAGGCAAAACACTACTTAGTATACTTAAGTAGAAATTCTAGAACCTCGATGATGGAAGTGGACTTACTAGAAGCGAATTGAGTCCCAATTAGCGAAATCGAAGGGTGGAGTGGAGTGAATGTGAATTCGCTTGAGATTCACCAACTGGCAAGGTCGAAAATAAGCAACACTAACCCTTGATCGTCTCTCTTCGTCCACTGCAGCTCTATTAGCTGCGTTAAGGAGTATCTCCGATATAATCGTTCGTGTTCTACGAGAAGACGAATGAGAGCTGGAAATGTTGAAAGACTTACTCCGAGGAAGCGTGGCCAGAACAAAGCAGAAGGGAATCGTGGAAAATGGAGCTGATTCTGTCAATGTCAAGCTTCTTTATCACCGAGTCAGGAATCAGAGAGTCCATGGAAACTACCACGAAAGTCACAAAGTCGTTAATACCTTTAACCAGATGCCAAAAGAAACACACAAAATATCGAAAAGCAGAACTGATATCTTTGCCCCACATCATGTAAAAATAATGAAGGAAAAAAACGAAAGTACAACCAGATGTAAATGATTTGAAATTTGGAGATAAGCAACTGCCACACCTTGATAACGTAATTTTTCAAGATGATATTCGGCATTTGCTAGCATCACTACGATCAAGTGATTTTATGTCATCGCTGCAGAAGCAAATGGGTTGGAACTAGATCGTTGAACCTGTGACTCAAAATGGTAGTCAATACTAGGAGGCAACAACAAAGAGATAATGGTAGAAGAAAGGGGTTGATCAGACCACAAGGAGGCTAGCGAATGAGAGACGGAGAGGTGAGAGACGTGGCAAGCTTGTCTGCTCATGGGAGTGGAAATCAGTGGAGGTGCTTGTGTGAATGAGATGGGTCAATTACAAAAGTAAACATGACAGAGAGATGTTTGAGTCATGTTGGCATGATGACTTTTGGAAAAGAAGAGTCATCCATCACCTTCTCATACATCCAAATGTATTTGAAACAGAAATAAGAAGACAGATTTTGAGGTTGTGACTTTCGAGGTAGTAAGTTTCAAGCGCAGATGGAAACAGTATTCCTCCGAAATTGAAAGATAAAGAAGTTAATTTCACAAAAAGCACGCCAAGGAGAGCAATCACAGCTGGTATTAAAATAATAGCAACTCTTTCCAATAAGTACACGGACGATAATTACATGATCACAATTGAATAGGTGCCTCCACTAAAATAGTTGAGCTTAATAGCATTTAAAAATCCGTCTAGGGGAGCACTATTGTCATCAAAACGAGCAGACCAAAATATGCCGAATTTTATACTCAAGACTCACATCATCTCTTGAGCACAGAATGAAAGATACGAACAACTGCATATCAATTGTGATTTTGCAAGAATGAAAAATAATGCGCCTTGAGTTAGCCCAGACCACAGAGCTCACCAAACTTAATTGTTCGCTTACCGGACCCCTGCTATATTCAGACTGCAAACTGCTCAATGCCAAGTAAAATCATTTTGCCTTCTCATCCATTGGGAGGAAAACTAGAAACCCGTCCAAAAGGAAGTGAGCTCCATCGACAAGCATTTACTGTATCCCAAGAAACCAATCAGTGACCTCGAATTTTGGAAATTCAGCTAAAAAGGCAATTGAATCTTCGATTGGTTAGACGGTGATCTTAGTTTCAACGTTCACTCCTTTTCATCATTGACTGGATTTTAAGACAACACTCTTAATTTGCTTATTATAATTTAAATTCACAAAAAACGTATTATAATGTAAGCAATAATGATATTTATTTCCTATGAAGATAGAAGATGAGACTGAAGTGGCCCTTCACACGGACACCATAAGACACAAAATAATTATTCACCAACTCGGCAGGATCCGTATTTTCATTTAATAATAGACAAAACAATCATACAACCCTAAAAGACCGTTCACTTAAAATAGTTCCATCAACAAAAACCAAAACAACGTATAAAAGGCAAAAATATAAATATATAAAATTTATTCTCATAAAAAATAATGGAAGACTGAAAGAATGTACAAGCTAACAGAAAGACAAAGTCTTAAGGAAGAAATAGGAAAGGACGGGGGTAGTTTAAAACAAATGGCTCCCCTCATCGTCATCTTCTTCTGAGGGATGACCGAATACAACGTTAGCAGCATTAGGGTGTTGATAGGGCGAAGCAATGGGGCCGAGGGGAGGAGTATTGCCACGTTGCTGGAAGATGGAGACACTTTCATCGTCAGCCAACAGTTCGCCTCCCGCGGGAACAAAATCATCGTCCTCATCTTCGTCCATCATTATGTCCATAGCACCCCCATAGTCGACGCCACCATGGCGATGAGATGCAATCACAGCCACTCTTTCCTCATCGTCAACGTATTCCTCAACATTCAACTCCTCTTCAATCTCCGCTGCTGCTGTTGCTGTTGCTTCATCTAAAAGAGAAGGAAAGAAAGGAATTCGGCAACGAAACCTCCATTCGATTTGGCTTTATTTACTTATACCTCTCATTTTTGCATAAACCACTAAGCCGTCTTTTTGAAAAAAAGCTCGCACATCAACGAATTCTATGCTTTCATAGCAAAACTCGCC